TAATACATAAAGATTAATATTATGTATTTTTTTCATGAGGAATGTGAGGCGCACATTTATGCATTTATTTATTTAGATGAGATTTACTTTAGAGCACATTCAGTATTCAACTTTAATTTTATTTTCTCTTTCTTATGATATATAAGTATAACATAATTACTTGCAAATGCTATCATTTTTGTATGCTTACAGTGATACAGAAACAACATTACGAGTACTATATTTACAGATAACATCTGTATAATAAAAAAAGCACCAGTCTAATGGTGAAAAAAGGGTAAAATATTGTAGACCAGCATAAGTATCAATCAATTATTTCACCGCTCTGTTTCATTAGAGTTGCAATTTTCTTTTATAATATCATAAATATTATAAATAAGATAGAGATTTCCATACGTTTCAAATAAATTTATATATTTTATGTATGTAATACTGCGCACACATATTAAAAGGTGATAATATCGCAGTTATAATAAGATACAATCCTGGCAATGTAGCGATTTTTGGATTCTGAAAATAATTTAATTTGATTTATTTTTCGGAAATGCGCACAATACTTTAGAACAAATTATTTTTGTGCCATGTATTACCTGTGTAAAATTCCACAAACAGTATCATATTGTATTGTCTGCGATATATGAAAAGCTTCATCGATGAAATAAATGGTTGAATATGATTGAGATATAAGAAAAGTAATATAGTACTTGTAATGAATAACGTTAACGTGGAATACATAAATATTTTATATTTTAATTTCATATAATCGAGATGAGATAAGACACTCATGATTACTTTAAAAATGTGTCCACAAATATCATGTAACTTCAATAGCTGCACATTCATCAAATTAATCCTATTACTTTAAATGAATCACAGCAGCTTGTTTTAATTTAATCTAACCTAACCAATTATATTATATGCTTCTCATTAAAATGTGTAAAACTGTACGTCGCACATTTAATACGATTAATATACTACGTAATAAAATGTAATACACTAATGAAATAATTAAATATTATTTTTAAAAGCATGATACAATCCAGGCAGCATACGCTTGTGTTTACATTCGACGTCCAAAGACAGTGGTTAGGTTAGGTTAGGTTAGATCAAACAAATTTATCGTTTAACAGTTGGCAGCTCTATAAGATAGGCTGTGCAGCACTGCGCGTATATAAAATAAATTTGAAATCGCTTCTAGCATAACCATCTTCACGCGATCGACTTTATTTGAATTGCACGGCATCGCATCGAATTATGATGCGGCGCCGATTTGTTTGAACGTAATTCGGGACATCGCGATGCTGTATAAGCGTCGAATGAGCACGAATTGTCACGTAAATATGATAATAAATCACATCTACTCAGCGTTCACCGGCTGTTCCACAGGCCGCTCCACTCGCTCGTCTCGGGACGTCCCATTCCGATCTTGATGCACACGATATCATCAACGCGAACGCGCGACACTTTATTCGGCACTCCCGATATTCGCTCGCATCCGATAATCATCATCAAGGGCGCAAATAACGCGACGCGACTTCGCTCCATCTTCGCGATGACGCCATCACTGAATATCGTCAAAAATCGCTGTCGCGCGTTTCCATCGACACACTATGAAAGTCGCGCGATCACCTTGGACACTTTCGACGCTCGTACACTCGCGATATTCGTTTAAAAACGGTTAAAAGACGCGAAAAATGCGGACGTTCGACGATCCGTGTAACTGCGTATGACTCCGATCACGTATGACGCGTATGACGTAGCAGTGACGTTGCAGTCACGCGCCAACATGGCGGCCGAACCACTGTGCATTCGTTTCTGCGCATGGCGATTCCTGCGCGCAACGTTCGCACAACTTTGATTTCTGAAATATTGTCTACGGCTTTAATTAATAGCACATAATGATAAATATATAAATATGGAATCATTTAATCATATTGGTCATATATGTAGACTTGCCCGAAGAAAGAGAGAAAAAATTGAGAGATATTTTTAATTTTTTTTTTTTTAATAAAGATGGAAATGTTTATTCATAGGCTTGTTCTTCTTTTCCTCTTTTGTGCAATTTTGATTCAATATATAACGTAGAAAATTCATAGTATATTGCATTTATTTTTATATATTCACAACTATAATATTCGCGCGATCATTTTTTGACATTTACAATACTCGTGTATCTTGTTCTCGATGTTCACTTTTAAAAGAATAAAGAGAATTATATATAAATGTAAATAAATTGTCCGAAGAGAGAAAGAATTGAGGGATATTTTTAGTTTTTTAGTAAAGGTTGGAAATGTCTATTCATGATAGAAATGCAAAGAAAGAAAATTATTGTTATTTATATATGTTTATCTATGTTATTTATATATGTTTAAAATAATAATTTCATATGAAATACAAAATTAAAAATTACATTATAAAACCTGACCTTGTAAAAGCGTAATAAAACAATCAAATAATAGACATAGAAAAGACTAATTGTAAAAGAAAAAAAGTTGTTAACTTAACTAAACCATTTAACTAAATTATTATCTTTTTAACTGGAATATTTAACTATTATAAATATAACATGACATTTATTTAACTTAAATATTTCAATATTTTAATTTAAAAAATAATAATTTAGTTAAACGGTTTAGTTGAGTTAACAACTTTTTTTTCTCAATGTACGTGTGTGTGTGAGACTTTAAAAATATACTTGGATATAAATACACTTATATTATATATTAAACGATTAATACATCTCGTGAGGTTTAATAAATAATTAATTTGTGTATATTATACTGAGAAAAAAAGTTGTTATCTTATGATTATTATGCATATATTATACATCAACAAATAGAAATAGTTAATTAGTGTAAGAATCGAGTGATGCATGATTTTGACTTCGTTTAAAAATCAAGCGAATTATTGTAATTTTTGTGTTCCTCTCTTGCAATAATAATAAAATAATAATAATATTATAAAAATACGTATCTCGTTTGATTATTTTGCGATTGGGATTTGCCGTGCAAAGTGTTTCGCGATTGTTTCTGTATATGACTGAAATATAATTAACTGAAATATAATTGTTTGTTCGCGAGTGAATACGTGACTGCTACGAGGAAACAACAAAAAGGATGAAACAACAAAAGAGAAGGACATCTGGAAAAGTATCGGACAGTCAGAAAGCAGGGAGAGAGCCTGAAGCAGCCAGAGACATGCGGTGAGTAATTTATAAAAATTATTTATTATTTATTATTTATATACACTATTTTTAAAATAGATATATTGCTTATTATTTTATTATCGTTTTATTTTTCGATCATTTAAATATATAATTCGGATTGAAATGCAGTAAAACAATCGAATCGTAGATCTAAATAATTAACTTAACAAAAAGATCCATAAAAGATATATTAGTTCTTTTAATAAATAATATCGTATACTTAATCTATATAAAAATGAAATATTATCTATTTATTTCTAAATATTAAATACTATAAATTTAGTAGTTATATATTTTGTAAAATTTAATTAAAAGAATCTTTAAGATATTCCAAAAGAAACGAAGAACTTTTCTCAACGTAGAAAAAGTTAATTATAAACAAATTTATATTTAATTATTATAATTAATTTGTATTTAATTTTATTGGAATTTTATTATTAATTTTATTGCATTGTCAAACTCTACGCGATCTCTGTAATGATAGCTATAAATAGCACGAAATAGGTACAGTGAAGTAATCAATTATTATCGAAAAGAGGCAATAATATACTTTTAAATCTAATTTAAACTTTTGATAAACGATATAACATTTTTTTATTATGATGAGAAATCTTTATTAAAGATCATAATTGCAAATAAAAATGGAAATAACTTCACGAAGTATATTAATCGTTTAATAAATAATTAATCCGTGTGCGTGTACGTGTACGTGTACGTGTACGTGTACGTGTGTGTGTGTGTGTGTGTGTGTGTGTGTGTGTGTGTGTGTGTGACTTTAAAGATATACTTATATATAAATACACTTGTATATAACTTTAAAAATATATATTTCCGTTATGTTAATTATCCGATTTTTATTCGATCGTTTTATTGCGCGTTCTGAATCAAATTATATTTAGATCAAATCAGAGAGAATATTTATTTATTATATTAGAATTCTAAATGTGTGTGTGTGTGTGTATACATATATATTAGGATAGAAACGAAATAGAAATAGAAGAATAATCATTGCTCGTAAAGATTGCAACAAAGTAATAATTTATAATTTTGATTCCTATCGTATAATCGAGTATCGTATTTCGAGAGCAATCAACTATTTATTAATAATAAAATTGTATATAACTTACAAATATATTCCACTTATTCCAGACGTTAATATCGCGACAACGACGAATAAACTTTTCAAAAAAGTTCAATTCAACTATTTCATATATGAGACAGTTCTACCAATCACTGATACAAAAAACTCGTCAATTGATCAGTTGGTGAAACTGTTTCAGTCCTGAGTATTTTCTTAAAAGAGCTGTTGGCGCACATACATGTGTGTATTATGTTTACGCGCGTCACGCGTTCGAAAGAACCTTGACATTCTCGCGGGTAAAGTCACTAGATTAACAAAGTACCGCAATTTTGATCTCAATAAGATAAGACGGAGCAAAAATATGACGTCCGATAGTGCAGATAGTGCACACTTTGTGTAGCTATCTATACTAAGTGTAATTTTTCTAATCTTAATCCTGGTTTGTCCTGTGTCCTGTTGTGTGTGAGGTGAAACTCCTTCTGTTGCGCAGAAAAAGAAGAAAATATCAAAAATGTCAGGTTGTTGCGTGGAGAAATGCAACAATCGCAGCCTATATCTATTTTATCGGACGCCATTTTTGCTCCAGCTTATCTTATTGAGATCAAAATTGCGGTACTTTGTTAATCTAGTGACTTTACCTCCTCAGATCCTGTCCTCGCTCAGTCCATCGCCCCAGTTATTTTTTTCTTCCTTCACGATTGGCGACATTGCTCGATGGAGTCGTCGCATCGTCATCGTATGACGTATATATGCGTGTGTATGTACACGGTCTGGTCACATCTGTCAATCGCATCGTTGATCGTTACAGGACAGCGTACAGGTATGGTGTAATACTGTAACGGCATGGTTCTCGTGAGACTCTCGCGGAGATTCGAAAGATATATGAATTTGCTCCACGGCCAATGCGTGATAAACTGCCGTTTATGTTGTACGAAAGTGACAAGAAGAGAGTACAAAGGAGAAGAAAAAACGTGATTCCTTGACTTTTCTAAGACTGTCATAAATACCAGGTAACTATAAAAGCGCAGTAGCGCACACTCTTTACATACGTATATCTCGAACGTTGCAGTTTCATAGTTTTTTCACCATCAATCATGCGTGCGTTAGATGCACATGTTCGAATTCTCGCGAACTGAAGATGCATGTGCGTTTTTTAAATACCTTCATAGACGAAGATAGATTTTATCCGTAAAATCTGATGAAATTGAATTTCTGAAATAGATTACATTACGATAATAAATATAATGTCGTCAGTGATGCAACATTCGGGGATTTTATTTTTTTTTCTAATTTCCGATATATCTCTGATTATATATTGTATGAGTCATTAAATTTATTACAATCTTCAACAATATGGTTTTCTTTTCACAGAGCTCCATGGACTGTTGCATCGCCAATCAATATGATTGTTTACAAGTTACAGAGACATTGCCAAATATCTCTAGTCCAGAGATGTTTGATAGCGATACCGAAAGAAAGGTGGATAATAAAATTGTTAATACATTACTCGATAGTAGTACATTAGCGGCAGTTAGCCCTCAAAAATCTTCTCAAGTAGAATTAGTTGCAAAATCGGATAATAATTTGCTAACGAGAATTAATAAGTTTTTGAGAGGCGTGCCACCTCCGCCAAGACATACGATATGTCAGAACGATTGTTTTGATTTCTTACAAAATATTTATGAAAATCGCCATTTGTTCTGGATTGGATATCCATTATCGAGTGAAAATTTGAAGGCTGTAGAAAGCACAAAATCCCAAAAGCAGATAATTGCAGGGAGAGAAGGTAGAAATATTCCTCAATGTGCAAGGGATACTTCGAGAAGCTTGACAAATGCCTTTGACACTTGCACTTCACCGATTAATGATGCAGAAAGTACACAATTGGATGCAAATAATATTAATAATATTTGTGGCAGTGATAGTAATTATATTATTCCTATGGAAACAAAGAATCCAATTAATATGATTAAAGAAACGGTAAGAGTTCCACCGATCCTGGATAATTCAAATTTACCTCCAAATGAGCGATCCCTTCTTTATCATACAATTGATGAAAAGGAGGCTATGACTTTAAAGTGGTCTCAGGCATATTCTCACAAGTTTTATGGCATACAGTAAGTTGTGTGTGTTTAATTTATGATAAAGTATCTACCCTGATATATATATATATATATATATATATATATATATCCCTAAGTTTATCTATCTCTATTGTTTTTTTTAATTTTAGTTATAATAGAAGCAAAAGTGTAGAAGAATTCGAAAATTTAACAGTTAAATTGTGCGAGAGGTATATAGGAGCTGAAACACAATCAACCTGCAATATATGGTTTTCCAAAAAAGCACCAGGAAGTGCAAGAAAGCGAAGTTTGTTAGTAAAGCGCGGTCAGAGTCCAGAGAAAAGATTGACACATTTAGCCAGGAGACGTAAAACCTTTTGTAGCGCCAACTTGCAAGGATTAGGACGTACTAATAAAAAGCAGTTAATGGTACAAATAAAGTATGTATCTCGTTTATCATATAAAAGAGAAAATAATTAAGTTTGGAAAAAATAAATAAAAAATTTTTGCGTGAAATATAGGAAACCTACTCATAAGAAAGGAAAAAGTCCAAGAGGTAAGAGTCCACGGGGCAAAAGTCCAAGAGGTAAAAGTCCGAGAAGCTCGGCAAAAAAGAAGGCAGTTCGGAGACTAATGTTGGATGGACCGAGTCCATACAAAGCCAAGCTAGAGACTTCGAGACGTGCGCTATTTCAAAGTCCATCGTCGGATCATGCCGGTCCTAGTAAATTAAATACAATTAACTCAGATTCTCAAAGAATCAAACGTGTTTTATTCTTGACACCAAGAAAGGACGAATCCGAGAATCTGAAACAAGCATCATTGAGAGAAGAAAGCAGGAAAAGAAAATGTGAGGAAGAATTGCAAGGGCCACGATTAAAATGGGCAAAAAGCTTATCTTTCGATTGCATGCATGAATTAAAAACTTCGAAAGTTACATGGGATAGACATTCGTCGAGCGACATTTTTTTGAAAAATGACACGTCTTTCAATCAAGAAAGGAATGAACTCAGTGATTCGCATAGAAAGGTATATCATCTCATTTTAATATTTTGTGCGTATATATGTGCACGCGTACTTTAATGAAATAATTTTTTCATCTCCGATCATATACACATGTACGCATATTATGTGTATAATTTTTTTTCCAGAAATTACTTTGGGCAGTTGCAGAGGCTTTACGATGTAAAGGCATCGGTATGAATCATCCGAAATTTAAACAGTATGCCGCGAGTTTAGCGCGTATAATAAAAAAATTCATGCCAGATCTCGAAAATAGGAATATTCCGCGAAAACCTGGTAGTACAACTGATCGCATGTTGAAATTAGCCAAGCATCATGTATTGTTTCTTATTGATACTAGACCAATGGATTGACAGTATTGTCGATACAAATTAGTCAAATACAGAAAATCACACAAGACTTTTGGATGAACAGGATAACATTATTAAGCAGTTTGCTTTTTGATAACGGGACATTATTAAAATGACCAATGTAGGTGCTTATATCCTTACCTGCACACATTGTATGTTTGTACACATTGACACTTTTATATAATTTAAATAACACGAGAAGACAAAACGCGTTATAGTAATAGTAATGTAACATTTAAGAAATGGGATTGTATGGCACTCCTCTATTTGCAGGGTGTCAAAATACTTTTTTATCTTATATATAAAAATGTTTTTTTTTAATAAGCATAGTGTTTTATTAGCTTTAAAATAGTTATCTTTCACAACTTATATAAATAATTAATAAAAGGCGCTTTCTTGTGAAGTAAAACGCAACTTACAATACTTTATCGAGTTAATACATGTATACATATGTCCGTCAGTTACCCTAAAATATGTTTGTATTTAAGACGGTGAATGATAAAAAAAAAAAAAAAAAAATTAGACTAACCGCGTCACAATTGCGACACGTGGCGCAATTAGTCTTTATTCTTATTTTCACTCCGAGTTTCCATGCCCAACCCTAGCGATAACCTCGTCTAGGATCTTCGCCAGTTCCTTGTTTTCCTTAGATTTCTGCTCTACAAGCTCAGTGAGCGAATTACTCTTAAGTTCTGCTTTCTTTATCATTGCACGCAACTTCACCGTTTCCGCCTCGTTTTGCTTTCGTATTCCGTCCAACTCCAGATTAGCTCTAAAAAAAATGTGATATTAATATATATATATTTATTAAGAGAGAGATTTGTCTATCTCATGAGACATTATGTATTGATAATGTGTCGATCGCATACTTTTCCAGTTGAGTCATTGCATGTTCCTTCAATTGATCGTATCGTGTCTCCAGTGTTTTTATAGTATCTACATTTTCCTGAATACTTTCTTTTAATACAGCTTCGTTATTTTTGTACACCGATACAACTCCTTTGAGTCTTTCATATTTTTGATGTACATCATTAAAAGCCGCCTCCGTATTGGTTAAATGGTGATTTGCAGCTTGCAACTCTTCTTGCAACTTTGCCTTTTCTTGCTCAAAGTTTGTACGATCCCTCTCCCGCTCTGTGAGTAATCTACTAATCGATTTCTCATATTCCTCCACAACAACCCTAAAAAATGATTATTTTCATATTTCATTCATTATTTATATAAGTTCATTCATATATATATATATATATATATATATATATATATATATATATATAAAGTTTTATTTATTTATTTACATACATAAAAAGCATTTATATGTTGATGTGGAATAAATTACTTACGTCATTTGGGTTTTGGTTTTTATTTCTTGTGCTATTTGTGTCTGCATTTTATTAATTTTTTCTTGAAGAGCTGCCTTTTGCCTTTCCAATTCTATTTCGTGTTCTTTGTTTTCTTTCTTCTGTTTCTCTAATTCCTCTTCTAATTGTAGTACTGTCGTTCTTACAATTTCAAGTTCCTTACTCATGTCTATATCGGCAATGAGCGGTGCGTCTGATTTAGGCTCTTCTAGTGGTTGCTCCTGAAAGAATTTTGTTGTTTCACGACAGGTTTAAAACTTAAATATAATTCGTAGCATAATGATTAGAAATATACATGCACAAATTCAATTTTTATTTACATTTTTCTCTTGAGCTTCCTCTAATTTTTGCACCGTTCCGCTAGGAAGAGGACTATAAAAAAGCAGCCTATCTATAGCTGCTATGGCAGGATTACGTTTTGGTGTACCAACATCGAGAAGTGGAGATTCGCTTTTGCCATTTTGCTCTTCATTTATTGGCGGGACATTACCTTGAGGCAACATGCTGATATTCGATATCAATGGATCAAATTTAACATACAAAGATTCCGCTCTAAGACGATCTGTACGCTTGGAATTACTTCGTGCTAACAAGAAATCGAATGTAGAAGGATCTTGGAAAACTGCAAAACAATATCATTCAATTAATAAATCTCACAAACTTGCGAAAAAAAGTCTTAAGAGCGCCATCCACAATACTCCAAACTCACTTTCATCTGTTGCGCTAACAAATTGATCCGTCTCTTCCACAAGTTCCTGTGAGGGATTGAGCAACTCATTAGTAACTTTTTCCACTGTGGATCTAAATTCTTCGAAATCTGCTTGTTTGCTGCTCAACAATAATGCAGTGCTTTGTCGTTGAGGCTGAAATTCTTGATATTGTTCTTCATCCGATGCAAAGTTTATGTCTACTTCTTGCAATGTAAGTGTACGATCGAGATCTTCTACAATAGTCTCCTTTTCTTTAACAGAATCCTTCGAAACTGCACTGTTTACGATTTTTTCTTCTTTCTCTATAATTATAGTTTCTGATGGGTTACACTGTTTTATAACACGAGTCTCATTATATGCTTCTTTTTCAGGTGAGAAACTTTGCGTTTCACTTAATATTACGTTTGTTATTTCTAAATCTCTTTTATCGACATTCGTTTCCTTAACTTCCAATATTTTTGGTTCTATAATACTGGTTTTGTTTAATAATCGTGCACTGTTTTCTTGATTATCCGATACAACACAATTATCCGATTGTTGTAAATCTTGTTCCTTGGTAACTTTGTTTTCTTCTGACTGAACGACTGATTGTGGCTCGTTTATACTTATTTGCGATAACACGCATGATCTTTGATGAGTATCATCGGAAGGCGATAATGCCGCTAATGATATTTCTTGTGTAAGTTTTGATAAATCTTGTACATTATTCTCCTTCGATTTGCTATTCGTATCTTCTAACAATAATGGGGATATGCCGGGTAACAAAGGGTAACCTTCCGCATATTGCGTTAACGAAGATATGGACGGAACAGAAACTTCGACGGGACACAATTTTGGATTTTCTGTCTCGACGCTGCGATTGTTTTCCACTCTCTGTTCCTTATCGAATCTGATCACATTGGGAATTGAATCGTTAGACGAAATTGCGATTGTTACGTTCGATTGATTATCATTTTCATTATTCGTCGGTAATGAGTCTTTTGCAGCAATATTACTTGCAATTTCACATGTCCCGGATTTATTAGCTACATTATCACTTTCTTCTTGCGATGGAATACATTTATCGATCGATTCTTCTATCGGTGCATCTGATGCATGCTCTGGATACGGAGTCAGCAATTGCGAGTCTTGAATGAGAAGCGTGCTCTTAGTATCGGTTTGATTCAACGATACATATGTTGTCTCATGTAAATCGGCGCTCGTCTCGATTACTCGTGCCTGATTATCGGCGTTATCCGGCAGATCCTCGTTAAGGGAACAATCGCTCGCGTGAAACGGCGTCTCATCTGTGGCCGATTCGAAGGTTTGATCCCGACTGAGATCCTGGGTAGCGTCACGCTCACTTTCCAGATGGATGTCGGCGTACGCAGCGATCAAATCTTCCAGACCGGGTATGTTGGAGTTGACGTAAGACGTATCCGCGATGTCATCTGAACTTTCAAGCGTCGAATCGGGACATATGCCACTGCTGCTTTTCGTGCTGAGGGTGCTGCTAAGGCTGTGGAAACTGCTGGCCGACGAGAGACTCTCCGGAGCTGAGCAGAGGTTCTCCGTCACCGATCCTACGTCGGCAAATTCACGGGCGAAACGGACCTTGACCTCATGCTCCGCAGTCTTCGACGCGAGACTGTCGTTGCCGTTCTGAAAATCAAAATGTGCGTTAAAATGTTTCACAGTATTTTTCATTTTTGCCTCGCATCTCCCTTCTCATTTCCAAAGGATGAAGAAGTATATTCGCTGAACATGGAGCGATGGGAATTCTATGATGCACAGTGTGACTTTTTCGTCAAACAGAGAAGAAGCTTTCTTGGATCTTTCGACATATCATCGCAGAGATAACGACAGATAAGCGTGGCTGGGAGATTTCGATAGAAAACGCCTACGAAAGTGTGCGCGACGCAAAATAAATACCGTCGGTATAGATGAAGGGGATATTTTTGGATTCGCGATGGCGCGATGCAAAAGCTTATTGATGTATTCCATGTTGATCGCGGCCGAGCGTAGTCTATGAAATACTAACATTCACTGGGAACATTGCGACCACGTAACGATCAGCTGACGGTCTGGCGATTTTTCGTGAAAGAAATTGCGCAACTATCTCGCGCCTCGCTCGGGCTAATTATAAAACATATCGAGAGAGAGAGAAAGGCTCTGGCCATGGTTCGCGCCACAGTTCCGCTCGTCTCTTCAATGCGACGACGTGATTACGGAAAAACGTGGCTGCTCCACATCGAGACGCTGGAAATCACGCATATTCGTCAGTTTGCGGCTTAGAGTGCGGAGTATAACGGTATGCGGCGGTATTAAATACAGAGAAACGTGAAGACATCACGCAATTGGAAGATTACAGGAATACATCTCTGTACAAGTAAAGTCGTGACGTACTGCGAAAAGAACGTAAAATTCAATTAAATTTTTTTCAAGTTCAAGTCCAACTCTCTATTTTATCTATCCAATATTGATTGTGCGTGTTCAACTATACAACTATATAAACTAACTTGTGAAAATTAGCAGGAAGGAAGATATCTTTTTTTTTCTTTGATACACAATCAGAGATAACAATGAGCATTCTAATGGCAGAAATCATATTTGCTAGCGATTTTATCTCACGCAGTAATTAACCGAGTATCCGCGCTGTCGAGCAACATAATTCTCGCGTGATGCAACAAACAAGATATGCAAAAAGAAATAATGACGAAGCCACTTTGTTATACATGGTAACATCGCCAACTTATACCTTTGACAGAGGATTCCCCATGATCTCTCGCAAGAGGACTTCCACTTTCGGCTGTCACCAAACGCGCAGCGTAGTCCCATATTTACATGCGGGTTCGAAGAACCTCACGACGAGACGTCGTTTTCACTTCCCTTTCTGTGCTTTTACCCTTGACACAATTGTTCCCCGCCAAAGAAACGTTACCACGCGTAAATAATTTTGAAGTTGACGTAAATATTATTATTCGGGTCATTAATATTTTCGGCACTCGGCCCACGTTTCTATTTCTCGACTGCATGGCTATAAATATTTTCGCGCTATCTCCTTTATCGTAATAAATACCGAGCATAGTTCATTATCATTAACAAGAGAGACATATCTGATCGTGATAATTTACACTCGCGAGGAAATTTATTAGCGTTATATACCTTGAGGAGTGAAAAATTGGAGACTGTACATTGGGAGGGTGAGACGCACGAGGCCTATCTTTTGGAAATGAGGTCAATAAGCGATAAAAGGTACAAGACGTAGATGACAAAGTTGAGTTTAATCCGTAACGAAAAACACACGAGTTGTCTCGCGCTCCTTATTCGGCGCGCTCTTGACATCATCGAGACTGCAACGCAACCGTCATGCAATGACTCATTCTCATTTGACCGCGCCAGCGGAGGCTCCAGAACCATCTCGGGGTGTGTCTGTCTCTATCTATCTATCTATCTCTCTCTCTCTCTCTCTCTCTCATCCCTAAGACGAACAACCCTCTTTAGTTCTGTGTGAACGCGCCTCTCATAATATTTCGATATAACCGATGGTGCTCTTGAGCCGCATCAAGTGACGCAACTCAAAAGCGAAGATGTATATAATTCTTTATCATAATTATAGCGCGTCATTATGCAGGGTCGGATATTGACCTCTGTAGAGGAATAAAAACGTATCGATTGATAGAAAAAAATTATCAAATAATTATATCGTGCAAAATAATAAAAAATTATTTAACTTATTGGCAAAAGATAATTAGCTGACAGAAAATAATATATATATATATATATATATATATATATATATATATATATATATAGAATCCTCAGTTACAAAGAAAGTATGTATTTTATTAAGAGAATTCTATTCTAAGAACGTATTTGAAGAAGGCGGCAATGGCGATAAAGGCGCGAGTAATAAAATACAGAAGAAAATACATAGAAAACACAAGTTGTAGATACGAGAAAGTGGCCGATAAGATTATATGACGCGGCAAGTATCCTCCCTGATCAATTCCAGAAGACGGTGACGCTCTAACGCATCCTCATTGTCGCGTGCTCTCGTCCGGAATCTACGACACGACACGATCGACGCCTTCGTAACAAAGTCGAGAGGAAGAAGGTACTTCACGGAAGCGGACCCAAGATTAGGGCCCACGGCGGGAGGTCAACGACAAGACGCGTATCTATCCCGTCGGAATTCTAATATTAGCTCGGCGCGTTCCCTAGTCGATATTCCACAAGTCCACCTTCACGCTATCGCTATCGTCACCACCACTACTACCACCACTGTCGTCATCGGTCGGAACGAGACACACTCGGCGCACGTAGATGCATGTGCACGCGCAAGGAATCGTCGTCGTCATTATCGACATCGTCGAAAAGGTAGAGAGAGAGAGAGAGAGGAGAAAAAGGACAACGGGGTTGATCGCCTCACCTCTTTCGACGAGATAATTGGGATAATCCCCGGGAAAGTTTCACACGACGATGTCGTCGTACGACGGCCGGATCTTCGGCGAGTGCTGTGCCGCGAGTATCATCGCCTCCGCCGTGATGCCACGGTGATGCATACTAACTCTCGGCCGCCTCTCACTGCCGAGCCGTAGCGTACAGTAGCCGCGCACACGCCGTACGGACATTGTGCCGCAAAGATCGCCAACTATGGAGAAAAGTGGTGGGAACGTTAGGACTTGTCTGGTCGTATCGAGCCGCCTGAAAGTCGCGCGACCAGCGTGGCGCTATCTGGAGCGATGCGATCGCACTCGGTAACGCGGTGTCGCGGAGACGAGTGTATCGTCGAGGGTGCAGCGAGCACATTGATAGCGATTGCTGAGGGAGCTGAATTCCAGACGAAGACGCATCTCGAGAGGAACAATAGGGATGAGGCAGTTCGATGAAAGCGAGCGTATCTTTTAGATTGCCGATTTATTAAAACACCTGTAATATATATATTGAATATTAATCAATGCTACATTGATATGCGTATGTTCTTAAATGAATACATACACATGGAGATGTGAATCTTTAGATTGAAATGTCGAGAAATATATATTTTGCATGAAATTAAATTTAAGATGATTATAGATGATGATGATGATGATGATTATTATTATTATTATTATTATTATTATTATTATTATTATTATTATTATTATTATTATTATTATTATTATTATTATTATTATTATTATTATTATTATTATTTTATTATTATTATTATTATTATTATTATTATTATTATTATTATTATTATTATTATTATTATTATTATTATTATTATTATTACATCTGATATAGTACAATCAATTATACTGATAGAGACTTTACAGTTATATCTCGCTGTTAAAATTAGTTGAAAATAAATTCGAGTATATAGTAGCAGTAGTAGAGACGAAAGAGCATTTAATTCGAATTCCCAAAACTATTAATAATTATTAAATCGCGAGAAACTTGATGAGATTTGATATATAATGTGTGCAATATTTCAGCTATCCCGAAAAAAGTGCATCGTAGTCTTTTTCGTATCGTGGAAAGCATTCGAGGATTTAATATCGAAACTCGAATTTATTCGCGTTCTTTTGCTTTCAAAGAAATGCTCCCGCATGACGGGAAGCGAAGCTTATTTTTGTTTCAGGGTACTTCTCTCTCCTGGAGATACGGAGTTTATTTATAGGAATGCATTCTCCCCGGTCTGACTATCAGCCGCGAAAGTGAAAACAGAAGAGCGCGAACAAGGATGAAAGGAAGAGGCTGTCGCGTAGGTCTTCTCCGTCATGTTATATTTCCGTATTATTTAATTCCATGCAAATAAATGCACGAGAAGAGGTGTGTAATATGTAGGTGCATGTAACACGCTCTCGTCCAAGTAAATACCTCAAGTTGCATACGATAGAAAATGAAAGGACAATAGTGTCGATGACTAATGAGAGATTTTCGCTAACGGTTCATCAAGAGTACCTTTCGTCGAGCAGGATGAATCGGTGGCGAATTATGTAGCGTTGCGGTTATCTCCTTCAGAACGACCCTCGTGCCATCGCGAACAGAACCCCCGATACCTCGTGGACTCGACATCTTATCGCGTTCTTCTCGATGCTCTCCTCTATCTCGAAAATTCGTCTCGTTCAATCTCCTGGTACGAAATATCACATATTGTATTGGAAAATAAATATATAAGTATTGTACATTGAGTCAAAAGATATTTAAATAGAGAATCGTAGATAAAATATCTCCTTATCTCCTATTCGCAATAAATATGAAATAATAAGATGTAAATATGAAATAATAAAAATGTAATTATATATTTCTTTTTTCCTGACTAAAAAGACGATTTTTCTGACGTTACAAACATTATTATCCTCTAGAAAAAAATCATTCCACCGAATCAGCGAAGCTATCCCGTTTCCTTCGTCCTAAATTTATGCGAAGGAATTATTTATGGAGATTTATTAAGGCCTTTGCACGTACGTAAAAATTGTAGTCGTAACCGTAAGGTCGTAAGAAAACTGACCAATCATAGTTGATTATTCTTTTATCTCAGAAAGAATACTCGACTATGATTTGGCAGTTTTCTTACGGTTACGACTAAAATTTTTGTACGTGCAAAGGCCTTTAGGATTGACGCGAAGGTCGGGAAAAAGGAAAAGCGAGGGATTACTTACGAGGCACTCTTGCACGCACTCGAAAACGACACACACCACACACACACTCACACACATACGCACGCGCGCACCCTCCACTCGATTGTTTATCTCGAGAACAAAGGGAACGATTCGTTATTTATTATACACTCGTCGTACACTCGTTGGCTCGCTCGGACGGTGTCGCATCGACGTCGTGGAATCCGGATCAGACACGTAACCGCGCTCGCACCGGATCGGACGGACGTGCGAATTCGTCGCGCGAAGAGAGACCGCGGATCGCTTCGACTAACGGCCGCGAGCCGTTTGACAGACTTGAATGCGAACGTGGCGACCAATCAGGACGCGCCGTTGCATTTCGCGGCGCGCCACCGTGGAGCCACTCAAACGTTCCTGTTCGGTTGGTAAACGCAGGACCCTCGAATGCGCCGCGATATTCGATAATCGAATCCGGTTCAATTTGAAATCCTGCAGCCGGCCGAGCCTTTTCCCGCCTTCGCGGTCCCGCCGCTCTGCCGTCGGCTGTCGCGCCAACGCGCGATGCTAATCCTGCCAATTGCATTCTCCCCCTCGTTTCCCCGCGAGAAACGTATCGTATTATTATTTCTTGTAAGTGTAGATTTGTACAATATGGTCTTAAACGCACATTCCAAGACATCAAATGACGTTACTCTAGGAATTTGCTACAAGCAAATCGATACAATTTTCAAAAATACGAGAGTAATAATTTACAATGCTATACATTTGCGATTTTATTTATTTTATTGTCAAACTCTTCGTACAAATATGTATAAACCGCCGCGTTATTATTATTACATGCCGGGCAGCGCAAATTCACCACAAAATTTTAACGCTTACTCATTAGAGATTATTAGCCTTTTTTTTTTCTCGACGTTTTTTACACCTTTCATCTCCCATTCATCCTTCGTCATTTATTCTAATTCAATATAACTTCGTTTCAATAGATTCTCCACGATATACATAAGAGTAATAAACATAAGTTAAATCTAATCTGTTAATATAAGATGCGAAATTTCAGTGCAGTGGATACAATCACAGAAAATAGCCATGTGTATGGCTTCCATTTTAAATCTATAAATGTTTTAAAAGACATTTATAAACAAGACGAAGCCACTTTTTTCTTTTTTAATTATCTGTAATAAAATAAGTGATGCGTTAAACTGATTGTGCCATTCGGTGCACGTTTAAAAAATGTTTGATATTTTACTGAATCTTATTATACTAAAGTCCAATCGTTTGATCGCAATGATAGATATAATTAGAAGGTATCATATTATATACAATAATGTGTCGCAACGCCTAATGCTACCATTTTTTTCATAATTGCATGCGTGGCAGTGCCTTTCCTGAAATTACACTGTTGGACAAATTCCTAATAAATCTGTAATTTCTGAATGATTGACGACTGAATGTAATATGTAATAAACAATTTACCATATAGTATAGAAAATGCCTGCGGTTATTGCTTGGTTATGTATAAGGATGTAATTGTGGTGTAGGACACGATGACAGCGGGGAATTTTTTTGATTACTAGATGGTGGAGTTAAAAGACCACTCTCGTTCGGGCTTTGCCTACCAGATTCAACATTCGTGTCCGAATCGTTCGCGTAGCCGTTCAAAATTTCTCCAGTCAATCGTTGCTGGGCCTTTTCCAACATATTTAAATCGACTACATGAGTCTGTATGCGATGCGATTCGTCCACAACAATATTAGGTACTGTGGCCTTCAGTCCAGATCCAGAGTGTGATTCCACGGACGTGATTGTAGACTTTAAAAGAGACTGGGAATCCTCTTCCGCGACAGTAGTGGCGAATGCTGTGAGCCACTTGACGCAGGGAGCAAGCTGTTCCCACGAGAGCCGGGATACTCTTAATGCGCACTCCCTTCCTTGAGTATGGTAAATTGCTGCTGCGGCTATATGACTGTATGGAAACTTCAAGCAACCTTCGTCCAAAGTCGCCAAATCTAATAGTTGAGCCGCCTGAGAATATTGCAATCCGCCATATTGCGGATATATAAAAGTGTTTGGTCTGGACGAGTCACCTGATTCAATTTGCATGTAAATATTGAGCCATCCTGGGGCAGTTATCGGAGACAAATTCCATCCGAGCCCTTTTAAAATCACCAACTCCTTTCCTAAAATTTCCTCCTCCGTACAAGCTCCATCCGTAACGTACGCAAATTCCGCGATTTTGGGTGGATATATTTCTTCAACCTGTAAATATAAATTGTCTTATTAAATATAGCTATATATTTTTAGATTGCAAAAATAAAATGTTATTTATGTTATTCTCTTTCTTGAAACACATAAGCAGAAACAACAAATGCGCAAAGGAAAGAAATTTACAAATTTACCTTAGACGCGATAAAAAGACAAGTTATCCCGATGAGTTGCAATTGATTTTTGGGTAAATCACGATGAATAGACAGATATCTATCTATATAGTCCATAGCGAGATAATAAGTTTCTCTATGTAGTTTGTACACCTCGCAAACTTCAATCAGCCAATCCAATAAGATTGCTCTCATCCTTGGTTGCAATGTCGGGTGTCTTTGGAACATTTCCGGATCTCTCTGAATTAAAGTTTTCTCATCCCCGAGGCACATAAGAGACCATACTTGACTGCCATCGGCCCATGGAAGAGAAGTCGGTAATGGACTAGGTCTAATAGACGTGCTATTAGAAGCCGACGGGGTTAAAAAGCAAGTCGCGGTTCTTAATTCCGACCATGTAGTTGGCTCCTGCTGTTCTTTCAACGGAGCGGTCTGATGTTGAGGGGTGCACGCAGTATCTACCGAATGTGCACCATGACAAGACTCTGCGTACGAGACGTGAGACAATGCTGGTACCTTAGCAGGTGGATATATATTTTCCGAATCCTCCGAGAGCTCTGTTGTACGTCTCTTACGTTTTAAACACTGTAGCTTGCCTGTTTGCAAGTAAGTTTGCAACAGCTTCTTTTCCTGCAAACTAAATATATGGAAAAAAATTCATCATCCATTTTCTACAATTTGTCCCAATGCTTTGTTTAGCTCTAACAAAGCAAACAAAATAAATCAAAACAAGGATATCTCCTGCTAATGAACATATACAAAAATTCAATACAAAAATTCAATAGTCGTCGGAAATGGTCTTTTTCCGAGGGCTAACGAAACGTGTCGTTAGCCCTCGCAGATTTTACACGGTACATGAAATTATCGGAGAAATTAAAAAGATGCTAAATTATTGCATTATCGAAGGTAAAAGCCCGTCGAGGTTTCGGAGAAGAGGATGTCCAAAGGACAAAGGTTATAGGAGTAGAGTTTGGGCGGGAATGGAAAGAAAATATTTTTAATCGGGCAATCGAAGCGCGCCGAGTCGATTTCAATCTGCGTTAAATGAGTCCGAGCCTACGAAAGAGAGATACATCTTATAATTTTTAACGCCACAAACGGAACGTCGATCACTCACCTGGTCTGTGGCATCTTGTCGCGCGATTATCGGACCCGTACGAGAAATATCCGCCGTCGGAATAATTTCTTCTCGAGTGCACGTGACAGCGGGGACTCTCGAATGAGATGTACGTCGGATTTCCTCGATCCGGATGCGACGATTTCCCAGGGAAAACGACGAAAAACGGAGGCGCGCGCGAAGCCTACGCGGATCCGATCGCCATAATGCACGTTCCCTCGCGCGGTCTTCGATTCGATGTACCGTCCCACGATTTTCATTCGGCGACGATCTCGACGATCGGGAAATTTATTCGTCTCCCTTACGGGCTATTCCGCGACGTGCGCGAGCCGCGAATCAACGATATTCCGAGGAAAATTGAGGACGTGGATCTCGAAGCGCGGGAGTACAGCGCGCGAAACGACGACCAACCCCTGCATGTCCCGTAACGCCCTCTATATGCCACATAACCTCAAAGGGAGGGCAGATTTTTCGAGATTTCCGCGGCGCACAATTTCACACAATAACGCTGTCCTCGCGCGATACCTCGACTCCGGACGACCTCCCTCTTTTGCGCGTCGGCTCCGATCCCTCCGAGGCGGTCCGACCGTGCGACTCCGCGGTCGGCGTCTCACCGCGTCCGACCAGACTCTCTCGCGAGAGTCCGGACGAAATTAGCCCCCTGGAGCACGTGAAGCGACGTCGAGCGGCTCTCGATGGTGACGTCGGGACGAGACGCATCTGGCTCAAACGGTCGCGCGCGGTAAACGGAAGGTGCGAAAACCCGCCGAAGTGTCACGCAGCTGCGCGCGTCACGCACATCGGTGGGTCTCTTCTCTCGGTCCGCGTTGCCGTTGTTTCTCCTCCTCGACCGCTGCTTTCACCGCTGGAGATCCGCGCGAGGACGATGCGGCGAGCGCGGCGCGTAAACCGGGAGTCGGGAAACTTGACGGCGAACGCGGGCAAAGACGCAATTTCGCGTCCAACTGGCGAGCTTGCGATGCGAATTGGCGTTTCGCGGGAACGCCGAAGCCGAAGTGGCGAGCGCCCGTGGCCGCGCCGATATACTCGCCGCCTATTGGCCGACTGGGCGCGCGGCGCAGTGCACAGCTGGCGCTCAGCTGATCCGTCGTACACACACACACACACACGCACACGCGCACACACACACACACACACACACACAGAGGCGCGAGCCTATGCACGCGCTACGTTGCAGTGGCAACGACCACGCGGGAAACGTACGCGCGTTGCCGTTTCGCGGTCTTTTCTCTACTTTCGTTTCACGGGGGCAAGGAACAGCGCACCTCTTGCCACGTATTATCCATCCGTTGCATCGTCGTTGCGTTGTATACCCGTCTCTACGCGATTCGAACGAGCGGATTCCGGGGAGAAATCTGTTTCTCTCCTTCATCAAAGCTCCCATCGCCCTTCTTTTCTCATATAAAAAAAAATTGTTCTCTCTAACGAATCTATTACGTATGCATAATGAATGATATGCAATGATGCGATGATTTTGTGCCGCGAATTAAAAACGTCGCGAATGTAATAATGGGATGTTGTACTTTAATTTAAAAACAATAACAAAATGTGCGAGGAATTAATTGTCATTTTGTTCCAATGTTACCACCATATTTTCCATGTGCCCTCACATCTCTTGTGTAAAAAACATTGATGTTTTTTTAATAATTTCCAATTTACGAATGATTATGTAAATAAAGGAGCATACATTCATTCATATATTATAGTTTGGTGAAAGAAAAAGAATGAATCTTTTAAATAAGCAGAAAAATACAAAATGTTTTTTTCTCTTGTAAATGTCAAAATGTATATGTTTGCTTTGCAAAAAAGCAAAGCTTCTCTTATCATATTTTGTGTCAAGTCGAGAAATACGTCGACGCGAATAGTATTCTCTGTTGAGAAACGACGAGATATTTTAATAAATATATCGTGCTACCATAACAGCACTGTTTTACCTACGGATGCATTTTCAAAGAGTTTCAAAAGTCACCGCGATACGTCGCGTCTGTCGTCATATCTTCTCTTAAAAATCTACCAATCATCTAGATTGCAAATTATTCAAGTTGCTCCGATAATGTCTGACATGTATGTAAATATATATACCAAAGTTTTAAATTAGCATGCATGCGATTCATACACGCAAAAAATAAAACAGCAAAGCTCGGAGGATAAAATTGACACGATTTTTCGCTGCGATTTTTATTTTCCCCATAATTTCTGATTTCTTCTTAGCAAGTAATTGACACTTTGTCATTGTTTAACACATTGTTCAAAAACGACGATTGAAACATTTTATGACATGTCATATCTTTCCGATTCTGACTGATATACAGTCATTTTATAGCTTTTATTTATACATGACACGCGATGAAATAATTCCCTGCGAATGTTTTCAATAAAAGATATCATACTCGAAGAGATCTCGCATAGTCACAATCAAAAAGAAGCTCGACGAAATGTAATAAAATTTCTCATTATTATATTATTATTATTATTTATTCGATATCGCGCGTGGCAGGAGAGCACCTATTAGAGTAGAGAAACGAGGCGATTAAAATGTGTCATCGCATTGTAATACTCGTTTACGAATAATGAGCTAACCAATTAATTTCCTTTACTCTTATTATTAATCATCGATATTTTATACCACCTTCTCTTCTCCGGAATAAACGAGTCGCTCGCACCCTGATCGCATTGGACGCACGACGCACGGGCACGGGCACGGGCGTCGCGTCGAACGGTGCGACCCTGGTGCCCGTTAGTAAAAAGGAAAAGAAAAACGCGGACACGGCCGGACAAGGCCGCACCCTTAGGTGGACAGAGAGCGAGCGGCGACGCGGGGCGCCCGCGCGCGACAACCGGCCCTGGTTTTCTGGAAATCGTCAGCGGTCCGGGGCCATTAAACGCGTTATATGTGTCTTGCAATTTGATCCCGCGGCGCTCGGCGCGGTGCCCCGATCGGAGAGTAATTTACGCGAATTCCTGGGCATCCGGGTCCGTGCGCGCGGCCGGGATCGGGCCTCCTGGGTTCCTTCGAGCGCCCGATGCGACCGCCGTCCCCTTCATTTCCTTCGTTGTCGCGGCATCATCCGACACTCGTCGCGACAATACGCGTACGTCGACGAGAAAGACTAGATATTCCCAGCATTGTTTCGCCGAGTTCCTCGGTGAGTATTCGCGACGCGTCGCGTCTGACACGGCACGGCGATATTCGATACTGATTGCGAGTTTGAGCGTCAACAGTGTGACAGTGCGAATTGCGCTCGTCGCGTAAAGGACTCGTAATATTTCTAGAATCTTTTTTCGCAACTTTCGTTTCCAACTTTCCAGGTAAACTCCAACAATGTCCGTCTTCTCATTTGTCATTTCAACTCTGGAAATAATTCCCACACTTTTCTCGGAGATATATATCTTATATTTTTATAACACTTGACGCACGCACTATACTTGTATTTTGTATCCTGTTTATGAAAAATTGTATTATAGTACGAGAAAAAATATTGCGTGCGAAAATATAATTTAGAGATTACTTAGAAGGAACATTGTGCTTTCAGAGTAAATGAGTGCAAGTTTTTGAGTGATGCAGGGCATGATGCCAGTTAAAACAAAATCTCGCGTTCCTGAAAATATGGGGGTCACAGGTGGACTGGTAGATGCTCGTGCCAAGCAAGTTTTAAGAGAAGCTGTAGATACAGTTGTGAACAGCTTTGCAAAACACAGTCAAGGTTATGGCAGAGGTACACTTAAATATCTTATTTTAATTTTATCATAGTTGTAAAAGAGATTTCTCTATCTTATATATAATGTGTGTACACACACACACACACACACACACGTATACTATTTTATATAGCTGTCTATATTAATTTTTTTTTTGGATACAGTAAATGTTGTGGAAGCATTACAGGAATTTTGGCAAATGAAACAAGCTAGAGGCGCAGAATTGAGAAACGGCGCATTAGTCATTTATGAATCCGTCCCTGGTGCTAATCCACCTTATATTTGTTATGTAACGCTTCCTGGAGGATCTTGTTTTGGGAGCTTTCAAAATTGTCCTACAAAGGCAGAAGCGCGCCGATCGGCTGCAAAAATTGCACTGATGAATTCTGTATTTAATGAACATCCATCGAGAAAAATCACCGATGATTTTATCGAGAAAGCTGTCGCGGAAGCAAGGGCCAGTTTTGCGAAACCTTCGGCAACGCCAAATGGAGTCAGTAGCCAAGTACAAGTAAATGAAATAATAAAATTATTTATTGTAATTAAATTATACTAAAGATGATTGTATATGTATATATATGTGTATATATATATATATATATATATATTTTTTTTTTTTTTTTTCTTTCAGGGAAGTGGCGACGAGAAAGAAGATCCAAATACAGGTATAGGTGCGTTTCGTTTTATGTTGGAGTGTAATCGTGGAAGAACAATGTTGGAATTCCAAGAACTAATGACAGTCTTTCAATTGCTTCATTGGAATGGCTCTTTAAAAGCTATGAGAGAGAGGCAATGCAGTAGACAGGAAGTAGTCGCGCATTATAGTCATCGGGCGTTAGACGACGATATGCGTAGCCAAATGGCATTAGATTGGGTGGCTAGAGAACACGAGAGTGGTGGCGGAGTCGTGGCAATGGAATTGGCTTTAGCCGAACGTGAACTTGAAACTGCGCGGTTAGCGGGACGAGAACTTAGATTTCCGAAAGAAAAGAAAGACATACTGATGCTCGCACACGCACAAGTATGTCCGCAATGAGTTCTCTATTACGAATGTCATTAAAATGAATGACGCACAAGACTGGCCTTTCGCGAGGGATGATAATAGTTTTGACAAAAATAGTTTTCTTTTTTTCTTTCTTCGAGATATTTTCTACAGTCGATTTTTATTTGAGAGCAATTTTACTTTTAATAATTCTTTTTAAGGCACTAACGCACTTTGTATTGCACAAATTATTCCTTCTTTTTTATAATATATATCTCATTGTAGAGCTTTTTCTTATATAAAGCATTCCTGGTGATAATAGATCTTAAATGGGATATTTTGATATCTAAGATTATTAAGTATATATATTCAAATATATATATACTACACACACACACACAACACACACACACACACACATATTATTATTAAAAGTTATAAAGATATATCGCGTTATAAAACACTCGCATTTATTACATATTAAATTTATCTATATGTATATATATTTTTTAGGATGCAAGGTTTTGTCTTCCATGATCTGTTTATTATTTTATACAAATTTTGTTTTCTTAATTGTTGTCAGAGTATGATCAAATAAGATCACATAGGTATTTGAAATTTTTGAAAAAGTTAATAAATACGTAAATTAAAATATTTTAATAAATATGTAAAAATGTGTGCACCCGCGCGTGCATGTGATATTCACAATAACAAATTATAGAGAATTTTAAGATAATAATTATACAAACACAGGGTATATATATGAAAACGATATATTTACTGATTTTTACCGATCTATAAAAATATTAAAATAAATCTGTAAACTTTAAGTAATTCGCAATTATATATTAAGCTATAAAACTTCAATAGAAGCAAACTTTTAACATATCATATTATATTTTAAGGTGAATAGGTTTTTTCATACGTTGCAAGTTATAAACACTTGCTTTTTAGCAACATACATGCTTGTCTTTAATTATGAAGATATATCGCAAAGAAAGAATATAGGCAGTCACATTATCTCTGCAATGATATTCTCCTCTCTCTCTCTCTGTTATAAATTAGTATATACCAAAATTTGAAAAAGGGTAAATATATCCCTTGCACAAGCACAGTTGAATAGAATATAGTTTATAATTGTTTTATAAATAGTTTATATTAAATATTGATAAATACATTTTTTTAATGCATTTGTTACAACAATGAAACCAAATTTGTATACCTGTGTCCTATTCAATGATATTAAGGCTTTGTCGTTGCACTTATTGTATTCTCTATTGTTTCTGCAGATTCTTCTTGCATAGGATGGGCCAACACTTTGTCTATTATTCCAAATTCCTTAGCTTCTGTCGGACTCATAAAGTTATCTCTCTCCATACCCTTTTCTGCACAAGAACATTTATTAATTATTTTGTTAGATACAAAAATACTTTACTAAATTGACAAAAAAATCTAGTACAAAATATATATATATATATATATATATATATACCTATTTTTTCTAAATCTTGTCCAGTATGTTTTACATATAATTCATTGATTTGTTTTTTCAATTTGATAATTTCCAAAGCTTGGATTTGAATATCTGTAGCTTGACCTTGTACTCCTCCCGACGGTTGATGCGTCATGATTCTAGCATTTGGTAAAGAATGACGCATGCCTTTAGTTCCAGCAGCTAAAAGTAGACTAGCCATAGAACATGCTTGACCCACGCACCACGTAGAGACAGGTGGAAGGACATATTGCATAGTATCGTATATTCCTAGCCCTGCCGTTACACTACCACCAGGTGAGTTGATATACAAATGAATCGGATTTTTACTGCTTTCCGATTGCAAGAAAAGAAGTTGAGCAACTACCGCGGAAGATACATCATCCGTAATCTATAAGAGGATACTGAATGGATTGTTTCAAGATTATAAATTAATATCTGACAAAAAGAAATTATTTATCATACCGGACCCATGAGACAAATAATTCTCTCCTTTAAAAGGCGTGAGTAAATGTCATACGCGCGTTCACCACGTCCACTTTGTTCCACTACGATAGGTACAAAGTTTAAATTTCTGCTGCTCATTTTCTGTCCACAAGCCTGTCAATTTAATGTCAATTTACAAAAATAATCAATTGTAAATATCAGTTTTCGTCGAAAATTTCTTCAATGCAAACAAGATATACTCACAACAATTTGTAATAAACTGTTTACTCTTCGCAACATCTTCGTAAATGCGAACTTTTCGCGAAGAAAATTCACAGAATATACGATAGTAAATTGGTAGTATCTCTAAAGGCAAACACTTTCTCTCTTTTACCGTTAAAAACATATAAAGATGTCAAGCATAACCTAACCTAGTTTACATTCCAGCATTCGCCAAAGTATTAAAAACGAATTTTACGTAGATTCGTAGAAAGCAGCGCACGAGTGTCGGTAAAAAAAATTCTTATCCACCAACTTGTTTTTTATTATTAGATACTCGTTTTTATTACTTATTTCTTCGTACAGATTGTACACTTTCAAAGTATGTACAAGCAGTTTTTGACGTAGAATATATTTTTTTTTTCAATAATTTCCTAACTTTGACAATTTTCTAAAACGTCTAATCCCGCGCTTTTTTCGCATTCGTAAGACCAAGAAAAAAAATTAGAGAAACGTCTATTCTCTCCTTATAGCTGCACTCTTTTGGCACTAAAATTACTGTCATACGTTTTTCGCGCATCTAATTCATGATTGGAGTAGCTTTTAAGCTGGGTCTACAATAGGTAATTTAAGCCTCAAGCCTTAAGAAATTGACCAATCACAGTCCGGCTTTGGAGACCCTTCAAGCCGGATCTACATTAGTCGTATTATAACGTCGTAGTTGTAGGCAAATTGACCAATCATGGTTGATTATTTTTGAAATAATTTGCCTACGATTTAGGACTTGCGACGTTAGCCCGGGTCCACAATAGGTAATTTAAGCCCTAAGCCTTAAGAAATTGACCAATCACAGTCAAGTATGAAGAGAATATCTGACTGTGATTGGTCAATTTCTTAAGGCTTAGGGCTTAAATTACCTATTGTAGACCCGGGCTTACGATACGACCAATGTAGATTCGGCTTCGATAAGAGACTCATTTTTGATTGGTCCGCCATTTTTAGGCAATTCCCGCTTATATTCAAATTTTAATTACCTTTTGAATATAAATGATATTACTAATAATAAATATTATAAATAAATAATGAATATTATAATAATAGAATATCATATATGTATATAGATAATATAAGAAATATTGTATAAATTAAATATAATTTTATTTAAATTTATAAATATTAATAATATTATATTATAAATAATAATAATTAAATTACAGTAATAAATTTTATCTTTTTTAAATATTAATATGAAAAATTATTTTGACATATATTATTTAGAAAATTTTAAAATAAGGTTTTAGTATTTCTATATTAATATAAATTATTTATTATTCAAAATAGAATTATAAATTATAGAGTATACAATCATTTTTTATTCAAAATAGAGTAATAATTATAAAGTGATAAAATTTGAATAAGAGCGGGAGTTTCCTAAAAATAGCGAAACCAATCAAAAGTGGCCATTGATAGCCAGTCCTTATTTAGGCTACGTTCCAAATTCACTGTCAATATATACTGAAAATCTAGGGAGCGTCCCGTTTGA